CATAAACGCGGTATGCAACCGCAGCTAAACAGACGTTTTTTAACCTACGTTTTAAACCACATTTTCCAGCAGTTAGTTTCCATCGTTCAGAAGTGTCCCGTGTACATGGAGCCTAACTGATACATTCTGCAGGAGAGCTTGTGCTTTTGAAAAACAACAGACTTACTGGCTGCATTACCAGGTGAAAATAGTAGAAAGAAATCCTAAATAAAGAAAACCAATGCAGCCATCACATCTAAGAAATGGTCATCTGTAATAATATAAATACTGCTTTAAAGAGGTTGCAAACCCTTACCTATATCCAGTGAAGCGTCTGGCTTTAGGTGATATACAGAGATTAAACAAATCCTTGTAAATACGTTGTACCTGTTTATCTATAGCCATTTCTCCCTTACATCCATTCATAGTGCAGAATTTACACAGGATCTCTCAGCTCTGAAAAGCAAGGGGCAGGGAGCTGATGTTACATGAGTGAGGAGAGATCTGAGAGCTGATTGGAGGAAATGGACACTTTCCCCTTCACACAGCTTACAGGAACACAGCGGAGGCTGTCTGTCTGTTGGAGGTTCCTCCCCTGTCACCATTTTTCTCTTGGTGTCAGGAAAACTTTTCAGAAGTGACTCATGAAAATAGTAGAGGAACGAAGCAGCAGACAGAAATGACACTTAGTGCTCTGGATTGAGACAAGTGCACACTATAGAGAGATGTGCTTTGTTCATATATCATGTCTGAGGTTTACAACCACTTTTAAGTAAAGTTATCACCAAATAAACTGGTTCTTAGCAGATATTGTAAAAAATGTATCTGGCCCATAAATGGTATACAGGTGCGAGAGCTGAAGTAGTAGAATTAATAGAAAAACTTACATTCCATAGCGATTTTGCTGAATTTCTAGCCTGCAGGTTTGGGAGAAACAGCCAATTTTGTATAGCAGGGCTCATTTGAGTAGAAAGTCATTGCCAGAATAAAAAACAAAAGCCCTTGAGAAGTAGGCTGTGTAACTCTTCAGTGTATTTCCTTGATACTTTTCCGAGCTTGACTGGAGTGTGCCTTTCGTATTATACTTTTTTCATCAGTGTTAAGTTTTATCAACCTGCAGATCCTGTGATAAGAATTCCTTCCAGCCGGCCACTGTGAGCAAGAAGCATATCAGTATGTACAAATCCCCTGGCTGGCTCGCCACTTAATAGAAACGTTTGATGTCTTATGCAGATATCTTAGGAAAGAAGACAAAAAAATAAATGCGTGCTGCTAAGTTCTTGGCTCATAAAAATTGAAGAAACCTTTTTTGGGGCACGAAAAAAGGTTACAACATAAAAAGGTTCAAAGTGTTACAAAGAGCACCCGTGTGGAAAGGATAAACTCTAAATGCCTTTAAGCTAGGTCTGAACAACAAAGAAGAAGGTGGTGCTGAGCTAATCTAATCTATATGAAGATCAACAAAGAAAGGTGGAAAAGATAAATACCAGCAAGTACACTATTTTAAATGAAATAACAGCCCAAACAAACACATCCTCAACTAGTGCTGCCCTACATTGTGTGAGTCCCGCTGAGCTCCCGAATACGGGAAGCAGATATAAAGAGGATATAGAGTATGTGTACCATTTAAAAAAAATATATATATTTTTTTAAACAAAAACACAATTGGGTTGAAAAGTAGTATTTTGTTATCTGCCTGAAGTTCACTTCAGCTTTATAATGCATATTTGTCTCAACCCCCCCTGTGTACCTGGGGAAGGGGGGGGCCATGTAGAGCGGCAAGTGGGAGAAGAGGGACTCTTTTAAATCTCACTTTAATACTTGAAGCTCTCCAAAGGAATATATTGTTCCAAATTTGCTATCTATTCCTTCATGACAACTCATTGCACATATTTACAAAAGACGTTTTCCAATTATATTATAAAGACGTTTTCCAAATATAACCACACACATCTACTTTGTATGAAAAGGAGATGTCTGATTTCTTTCGTTCTTTCTCTCTCTCTTTCTCTCTTTTTCTTTCTTTCTCTTTCTCTCTCTTTCTTTTTCTTTCTTTCTTTCTTTCTTCTTAGGAATAATATAACCACACACATCTACTTTGTATGAAAAGGAGATGTCTTATTTCTTTCGTTCTTTCTCTCTCTCTTTCTCTCTTTCTTTCTTTCTCTTTCTTTCTTTCTTTCTTTCTTTCTTTCTTTCTTTCTTTCTTTCTTTCTTTCTTTCTTTCTTTCTTTCTTTCTTCTTTCTTTCTTAGGAATAATATAACCACACACATCTACTTTGTATGAAAAGGAGATGTCTTATTTCTTCCTTTCTTTTCTTTCTTTCTTTCTTTCTTTCTTTCTTTCTTTCTTTCTTTCTCTCTCTCTCTCTCTTCTCTCTCTCTCTCTCTCTTTCTTTCTCTTTCTCTCCCTCTTTCTCTCTTTCGTTCTTTCTCTTTCTTTCTTTTCTTTCTTCTTAGGAATAATATAACCACACACATCTACTTTGTATGAAAAGGAGATGTCTTATTTCTTCCTTTCTTTCTCTTTCTTTTTTCTTTCCTTTCTTTCTTTTTTTTTCTCTCTTTCTTTCTTTCTTTCTTTTCTTGCTTCTTAGCACTTCCTCCTGGCAGTACTAGGGTCGTTGATTCCAATCCCAGCCACGGCACCTCCTGCCTGGAGTTTGCATGTTCTCCCTGTGCCTGCGTGGGTTTCCTCCAGGTACTCCGGTTTCCTCCTACACTCCAAAGGCATGCAGGTAAGTGAATTGGATCCTGTCTAAATTGTCCTAGTATATGTATGTATGAATGTGAGTTAGGGACCTTAGATTGTACACCCCTTGAGGGTTAGGGACTGATGTGAATGTATAATATATATATATGTAAAGCGCTGCGTAAATTGATGGTGCTATAAATAAATAAATATTTCAGATACTTATATAGTGCTGTCAATTTACGCAGCGCTTTACATATATATATTATACATTCACATCGGTCCCTAACCCTCAAGGGGTGTACAATCTAAGGTCCCTAACTCACATTCATTCATATACATACTAGAGCCAGTTTAGACAGGATCCAATTAACCTACCAGTATGTCTTTGGAGTGTAGGAGGAAACCTGAGCAGCCAGAGGAAACCCACACAGGCAGAACATGCAAACTCTAAGCAGGTGGTGCTGTGGTTGGGATTTGAACCAATGACCCTAGTACTGCCAGGTGGAAGTGCTAACCATTTAGCCACTGTGCCCGTCTTAGACTAGGTTCACATGTGTGCGAGTGGTGCAGCTGCAGATCCGCACGAAAATCCGTGCAGCCGCACCACCCGCACAGAGGAATGCGGACCCGCGGGTGGGTGCCATTAATTCTAATGGTACACCGCCCACACTGGAAAACGCAGCCGTACTGGGAACCGAGGTTCCCGTGTTGACTGTGTTTTCATAAGAAGTGTAGGGACTTCTTCCCTGCCTGTCATGGGGCACGGGAGTCCATTCAAATAAATGGGCTCTCGTGCCCGCCCAAAACGCAGCCCGCATGGCCGCATATATGTGAATCAGGCGTAAAAGTGAATCTTTTCTACATTTAAATATGTTCTGCCTAAGGGTCGGTCCACTCCAGAACGCATTTCCTGCATTGTATTCAAAACGCACTGTGATGCAATCTGCAGCAGGTGTTTCTTAGATTGTAAGCTCTAACAAGCAGGGCCCTCTGTTTCCTCTTGTACCAAATTGTATTGTAACTGTATTGTCTCCCTTCTATTTGTAAAGCGCTGTGCAAACTGTTGGTGATGTATAAATCCTGTATAATAATAATAGTTAATGATACCCAAATGCAGGTCGCAAATGCAGTGCGTCTGCCTGCACCAGATCGCATGGTGCAAAAGTGCTATGCAGTCCGTTTGTAGTGTGTTGCTAAAAATAGTGCATGCACTTCTTTCGGTGCGGTGCAGTACAATTTTAGCCCATTCAAAATGCATGGGTTGAAATTACACTGCACAGAACTGCATGTGAAATCGCACAGGAACACAGCGCTTTCCTGTGCGATCCTGTGCAGGCATGGTGTGAACTAGCCCTAAGGCTGCATTCACACTTGAGTGATTTGTAGCTTGAAACTCGAAGCTCCAAAAACACTCAAACTTAAAAAAATCAATTGTTCTCTATGATGCTTGTTCACACCTGATTGAGTGAACAGGCACCATAGAGAACAATTGATTTTTTAAGTTTGAGCATTTTTTGGAGCTTCGAGCTTCAAGCTTCAAATCGCTCAGTGTGAATGCTGCCTAAGAATAGACACAATAGGATGCTATAACCTTTACTAGGAAGAAAACATTTTTTGCCCATTCCTGATTAGCTGGTGATCTCCTTTTAATTTGTTGACTTCATATATAAAAAAAGGGCCATACACGAGTAAATTTCTGATGGTCTCTGATCTGAATCTGCCAAAATAGGAGTCATGGGTGGTCCTGTCAACACCATCTGACTTGACATCCTTTGGTCTGAACATTGAGGGAACTGGGCAGAAAATTCTCAGCTGAACAGCGCCTGCATCAAATCAGATGCAGGCACCGTTTGGGTGTTCTGACAGCCGCTGGTGCTGACTGTCAGAATACATAAGGGGAGATCGCATGACTGCTGATTTTTCAGTTCTTATTCTTCTCGGAGTAGAGAGCAGTGATTGACAGTCTCCGCTGTGTGCTCTGCCCCTGCAGCATTCACCGGGGCGCAGCTGGCTTAGGCTCTCAGCCGCACGCTGAGAACCTGAGCCATCTGTCAATTGGCAGCTTGTTGGATCCCAACAATATGGCTGGGATCCTTCCAGAGCCTGGAGCAGCTCAGTGACACTGTCACTGGATTATAGGTCATAGTAAAGCACAAGTAAGTTCACTCTCAAGAGAAGAAGCATTGCCCATTCTTTCTCTTTTAAGCCAATTACAGATTTGGTGAAGATATAGACAGATAATTTGGGGTCAGAGACAGAAACCAATGTAATGGTGTATGGGTAACTTCTATTATACAGTGACTATGCTTTGTTTGTTTTTTTCAGGACTTCCCTTTGTTGTCCCTGGAAGGGGTGGTGAGTGACCATTCCAATATTCTAGGGTTTTCCATGTACAATAGTAGCCATCCATTCTATCTGGAGTTCCTGAGGAGCCTCAACATGTCTTGGAGGGAGAACTGTGAACTCACTACCTACCTGGGACCTGCGGTAAGTTATCGTGTAACTTAAATATGGCTTGCTCATTTAGAAATATCTTATAGGCCAGACAGTTTAATTAAAGCTGAAGGTTATGTGTTGCCTTCATTAAAACTTTTCTGTTTTCATTACATATTTTATTTTAGACCCAGTAGTGTCATCACTGGGTCTCTCTGCTTCTCCATGCAATGCATGCTGATCATGGATTCTGGAAGGGTTCGACAGGGTGCTGTACATAGCTTCCTGAAAACATCACATCACAGTATTCCTCTCAAAAGCCCTCAGCCCTTATGCAAGTAGTTGGCTGGCTCTTCAAATAATTTATCCAAATATTAAAATGCCTTGATGGGTGGATGTCAGTGTGGGAGAGTGGGCATTCCAAGGCAGGCTGCATTTGTATGTAGACCACCCTAGGTAACACTCATGTGTGAAGCCTAGCTTTCACTAAAGATGTTTGTCCTGTTAATGGAAGGGATGGGCCAGGGACATTCAGGCTGGAGAGGAAAGGACTAGATGATTATGGATGTCCTTGGGCAGGGAATAAAGTGAGTCTTAAAAGTGAGTCTTATCTGACTTCCTGCACTTTCCATTGATTAGACCACTTTTATTACTTGCAGTAGGTCACATGCTCCCCCATACCTTGAACTACTGGGTATCTCTGGAATGAGAGAAGGAAACAGAAGATTATGCTGCAAACTCTCAGATGAGTCTCAGGCCAACTCTTATAATGGAAGTTGGCAGATCAGAAAACAGACACAACTTTTCATAACTTGTATTGTGATTGCCCTACATACATAAATAATCAATAACGTCAAAGTTCTTCTAACAAGTTCTTCCTTCCCTTTAGCACTAAAAAAACTTAAGATATCTAAATGGTCAACAACTTTTTTTTTGCAAAAATGGGGTTTGGTGCCATGAAGAAGCCTCGTGGGAGTGCCATGATAATGACAGCTCCAAAGTGACAGCTAAATTAAAAGTTGTTCTTAGCAACTTTTTCCTCCTTTGTTAATTTGCAAATGATTTCTGTCAGCATTCATCACATCTCAGCGGCAACAGTCTCATCATTACCATACAAATATTACTCTGCATGGCCTTATGTCATAATATATTGTTTTAGCTGGAATCGGAATTAATTTATTATTTGACTAGGAAAAAAAAAAACATTTAAATGGCGGCAAAACAATTGCTAATTGTGTTTTCTACGCTTTCAGATGTTTTATTTTATATTTTAACATTTATTTGCCTTCTGCAGACTCCCCAGGTCCATGCGTAGCCAAACTGTGCATGTAGGTAGAATTGTTGGGGGAGAGCATGCCTAGAGCAGAACTTTACATACAAATTGAACATTTGTGAACAGCTAGGTATTTTATTGCAGAAGAGATATACTATGGGGTTGATTTACTAAAACAGGAGAGTGCAAAATGTGGTGAAGCTCTGCACAGAAACTAATCAGCTTCCATGATTTTTGTGTCAAAGGTTAATTGAACAAGCTGAAGTTAGAAGCATGAGACTTTGCACGTTCCAGTTTTAGTAAATTAACCCCAATGTCTCTTCCACAATAAAGCCTATTCACAATCGTCTTAAGAATGTATGTACACTTGCTCACCTCAGTGTACTATGCTGGTATCTGCCAGGTGTCAGGATTAATAATCTCATGGGTGGAATTACATCATCCAATGTGGCCAACCAAGGTGGGTGAAGATCCCAAACCCAGAAGAACACCAGATGAAGATATTTTCTTTTCAGAGCTCAGGGGCATGGTGCTAATTTGATTCCCTGTGATAAAAAGTGACCCCTGAAATAACAGCACAAAAAAAAGTGCACGAAGGGTAAAATAATGGTCTAACCTTTGAAGAGGAAGGGCCTATATCTCTGAACCCACCACAATGCAAGGCTCCTTAAAAAAAATGGGCAAGGCATTTTATGGCCACCTAAGCCAAAGCCAGGGTGACCCCTCTCCTAAGGGACCTGCCAAAGCTGGTCATCCAAGTATTTGGTGGGGGGCTCTCCCAAAGAGAGACACCCCTCCTTCATGGTTGGGGAAAAGAAAACGACTCAACGGCCATGAATCCTCTATCTGATATCAGGGCAGGCCTTGATATCCTGCTAACCAGATATAAATGTTGGTGCTGGCAAGAGTTGACTATTATGAGCAGCAACTACATTTTGCCCCTTGGAGTGTTTATTCAAAAAGCCAGTATATTATGAAGGAGTCAGAGAGCTGTTAGCTTTCATATCATCATCTCTCCCATAGCCAGTAAACCAAAAATAATTGATACACAATAATATTACAGACTTTAACAGTGCCTTTATTGAATTCTATCTATATGATAATTTAGAATTCTTCATTGCGGCAAACAAAGGTGTTGCCAGCAATGACCCATCAGAAGGCAATTTTAATTATCTAACCTGGAAATCAAAAAAGATTGGATCTGGTTAGTTGCTGTGGACGACATCTCTGCTTTCTTCTAGCTGGCTTAAACACCCTATAGTAGGTATTGCAGTATTGACGTCATATATTTACAACAGTATTATACCAGCACACTGGGCTTGTAATGAGTATGGTTATTGGTTGGGACAGTAAAGGCATCTTTTGAATAGTGATTGTTGCAGATGGAAGTGGAGTGGGTGGCAGGAGAAAGACCTGAGATAATAATGATCATTATATGCCAGGAGCAGATAATAAGCACACCGTTTAGTTGTGAAAAGAGCTCACTTATTATGTTTCTCTCTGTTTCCTTCAGCTGTCTGCAGCGCTCATGTTTGACGCTGTCCACGTAGTAGTCAGTGCGGTGCGAGAGTTGAACCGGAGCCAGGAAATCGGTGTCAAGCAGCTGTCTTGTAGCACATCACAAATCTGGCAACATGGGACCAGTCTGATGAACTACCTCCGCATGGTAATAGGCATAACCAAAAGTGACCAGTCGCCTCATTTGCCTTCACACTGTTAACTACAAGTAAACCCAATCAGTAAAATCTCATTAAAGTTTTACCATGTTCATGCAACGTCAAAAGTAATTTTGAATATTTTTATTCTGTAGCTTTCATTAAAATAACATTTGGTGATCCTTCCATGCAGGAATTTGTTTATGCAGCTCTTATAGGGTGACTACGCTCTGTCCTATTATTGTGTATAGTTTGTGACTTTATATGTACATAGGGCAGCAAAGAGATGAATAAGGGTAGAATAGGGTTCTAGGCAAGGTATCACTTTTGCCTCCCCACCTCCCTTTGATTGAAATTAATAAGGATTGCTTTAGACCAGCCTTTCTCAACCAGAGTTCCATGGAACCCTAGGGCTTCTCTAGAGGCTGCTAGGGGTTCCTTGAGAAATGAGTAATCTGCCTCTTAGATAAGTAACCACTTGGGCCAGTGATCTTTTTAGATATACTCTTCCTACCACTCTATCCCCCACAGCTATCTCCTCCTGTACCACTATCCCCTCCCTCCTAGATTGTAAGCTCGAAAGAGCAGGGCACTCAATCCCCTCATGTTTTGCATTGTATTGGTATTGTTCTGTCACATGTTCTGTCCCCCTTTGTAATGTACAGCGCTGAGCGAACTATTGGCGCTTTATAAATACTGTATAATAATAATAATATATACAGAGTAAGCATTCTTCCTATTGACCACCAATGTGAGGAACATTCTGTCCCCTGGCCACTAATGTAAAGAGCATTCTTCCCATTGACCAGCAGAGTAATGGGACTCATCTTCCAGTAAACACCAACTTAAAGGTACCCTTCTCCTATTGACTCCCAATCTAAGGCAGTCTGTCTGCATTGACCATTTATATAAGGGAGGATTTCACTGATTGCTGATGTAAGAGGGCACAGTTCAATTGACTTAGTCTTCACGCCAACATGCCATGAGCTGTAGATACGGTAATTCATTGTTATCTGGGGTTCCCCATGACCTGAAAGTAATTTTAAGGGCTCCTCCTAAAATAAAAAGAATGAGAAAAGCTCATATAGACACAGAAAAATGACCCCATCTGGATTATTTGTACTGGAATAGACCCATCAGACGCCAAATGCCTGCAAGTACATCCTTTATTGTAAAGTGACAGGCAGATGCACAGTTTTGACCAGCTGTCTTCTCCTCCTAGTTTCCAGCATGAAAGTTTTAGCTGGCACTCTGAACATCTGCCAGGTCCAGGGCTTCAAGGTTGCTTTGTGGATGATGTGGTTCTGGGGCAGCCATTTCAATTAATTACATACAACAGCTTTGCTTTGCAGTGCTACACCATGGTTGTGCTTTACTGCTCCTTCTAACAATGTAAGTCTTTGAGTTGGATGACTCTTAGAAAATGATCCGCTCCCTGTGTAACTGAAGTCTTATCTCTGCAGTTACAGTTAGGCAAAAGTGTTATATTATTATATTTCAGAAAGGTTTTATTGTCGCTAACCTTTTCTGCCTTTAGTGGCTAATGTATAAATCTCTGCATTTAATGAAATAATAAAACATATGGTATGTAAAAATCAGTAATTACTTTATTCAGTAACTGTAATAACAAAATTACCTTTGCAGTGGGGCTTCCGCTCATTGCAATGGTTAAATGTTCATTTTGTCTAGAGGGATTGAAATAAGTGCAAACCTCTATCTAATTATTTGCTTCCATGATACCTGGCACTTTCCTGTGCTCTCCAGCGTTCTCAAAGTATGGGCAGGCCCTCACCAATCTCATATACTGTACAATGCAGGACTGATGATCTTGCACAGTATGTGATGATGTCATAAAGCCTGAAACAAGCTGAGCAGCAAAGCAGCTTCAGGGAACCAGTCTTGCAGCTAGGAGAAATCCTCAGAGCAAGGAATAAGATAAGTATTAATGCTTATTTCTCTGCCCCTACTGACTTCGATGGGGCTTTATATCCCATATACACTATATTGCCAAAAGTATTGGGACACTCCCCCAAATCGTTGGATTCAGGTGTTCCAATCACCTCCATGACCACAGGTGTATAAAATCAAGCACCTAGGCATGCCGACCGCTTCTACAAACATTTGTGAAAGGATGGATCGCTCTCAGGAGCTAAGTGAATTCAAGCGTGGTCCCGTGATAGGTTGCCAACTGTGCAACAAGTCCATCCGTGACATTTCCTGGCTACTAAATATTCCACAGTCAACTGTTAGAGGTATTATAACAAAGTTAAAGCAACTGGGTACAACAGCAACTCAGCCACGAAGTGGTAGGCCACGTAAAATAACAGAGCGGGGTCAGCAAATGCTGAACCACACAGTGCGCAGAAGTCACCAACTGTTTGCAGAGTCAATAGCTACAGACCTCCAAACATCATGTGGCTTTCAGATTAGCACAACAACAGTGCATAGAGAGCTTCATGGAATGGGTTTCCATGGCCGAGCAGCTGCATCCAAGCCTTACATCACCAAGTCCAAGTACAATGCAAAGCATCGGATGCCGTAGCGTAAAGCACACTGCCACTGGACTCTAGAGCAGTGGAGGCATGTTCTCTGGAGTGACAAATGACGCTTCTCAGTCCAGCAATCTGATGGATGTGTCTTGTTTTGGTGGTTGCTAGGAGAACAGTACTTGCCTGACTGCATTGTGCTAAATGTAAAGTTTGGTGGAGGGTGGATTATGGTGTGGGGTTGTTTTTCAGGGGTTGTACTTGGCCCCCTAGTTCCAGTGATGGAAACTCCTAAGGCATCAGCATACCAGGACATTTTGGACAATTTCATGCTCCCAACTTTGTGGGAAGAGTTTTAGGGATGGCCCCTTCCTGCTCCAACATGACTGCACACCAGTGCACAAAGCAAGGTCCATAAAGACATGGATGAGCGAGTTTGGGGTGGAGGAACTTGAGTCCTGACCTCAGCCTGATAGAACACCTTTTGGATAAATTAGAGTGGAGACTGCGAGCCAGGCCTTCTCCCCCGACATCAGTGCCTGACCTCACAAATGTGCTTCTGGAAGAATGGTCAAACCTTCCCATAGACACCCTCCTAAACCTTGTGGACAGCCTTCCCAGAAAAGTTGAAACTGTTATAGCTGCAAAGGGCGGGGCCAACTCGATATTGAACCCTACGGACTAAGACTGGGATGTCATTAAAGTTTATGTGCGTGGAAAGGCAGGCCGACCAATACTTTTGGCAATTATAGTAAGGCCCTTGAGGGTTAGGGACTGAATGTGAATGTACAATATATATGTAAAGCGCTGTGTAAATTGGCGGCGCTATATAAGTACATGAAATAAATAAATAAATAATAGTGTACATTGTATCAACAACAGAACAAGCTTGTGTCAGTGTAAATTATACTGATTTTAATTAGTACAAAAGAAGGAAAGGAGACATGTCTGTATCTCCTCCCATGTGACTACCCGGGAAAGGGAGTGAGTCACATGCTCCCGAAACACGGAATTACTGGGTATTTTTCTTTGCTCAAAGAATCTAAATGAAGTGGTATGGCAGCAAGGGGAAAGTGAGGTTAAAGCCCAAATCTAGGAAAAGTACAGATCCACCCTTGCAGTAGGGCTGTTCTCACACTGCAAGGGTTAAATCCTTGTCTATATCTAGGGACAGCTAAACCAATTTTATTAATCTGATTCTCCACTCCTCCTGTATGATCTGGCAGTGCAGTGTTCCGTAGCATTCTCCTGTCCATTGCAGTGACCCTGCATCAGTCTTGATTTTGTTAGGGGGCAAGCGACCACTAAAATATAGGGGAGATGAGGCTGCCAGTACAATAAAGTCTGCAGGACTGGTGGATCAGCTAAGTAAAACATTTTTTTCCAGTCCTATAGACCTAAACGAGTACTCAATCTTTCCAGTGTGGGGGCAGCCCCACTGCAATGGAGAAATATTTACTGTACTGGAGCTTTAAGTTGCTGCCATTAAGGTGAACTTCCATTAAGGTGAGCATTTCTCTACATAGATAAAACATAGGTTCACTTTAAATGATCTCCAGAGCTTAATCACCGGCACAGTACTATTCATCGCTTCTTAATTTGAAATGTTTTCTTCCATCATTCTTCTTCTTTTACTATCTATCAGGTAGAGTACGATGGACTGACTGGACGGGTAGAGTTTAACAGCAAAGGTCAGAGGACAAATTACACCCTGCGTATCTTGGAGAAGGCTGGAGATGGTCACCGAGAGGTAAATGACATAGTCTATGGACAATCTAGGGACAACTACACTCACCAGTCAGCAGTTTTTGAAATACCCAGACCAACCGGTCTGGCACCAACAACACTGCCAGATTCAATGTCCCTTAAATCCCCTTTCTTCCCCATTCTGATGCTGGGTTTGAACTTCAGAAAGTCATCTTCACCACATTTAGAAGCCTAAATGCATTGAGTTGCTGCCATGTGATTGGCTGATTAGCAATTTCTATTACCTAGCAATTGAACAGGTGTACTTAATAAAGTGGCCGGTGAGTGTATAAAAGCTATTCAGTGTATTTATAATTTTTTTGATGAGCGTGCAAAGAAACTGGAGAACTTTTAAGAAGCCCTAAAAATTTTTTTTTTTAAAGTCCAAAGTCCATGAAGACAGTACATTTTAAATCTTATCATTTTTAACCAACAAGCCACCAATATATTCAACTTTTATAGATTAGGGAAGGCTTTGCAGTTTGGTTTCTGACAATTCAGGTTTTTATAGCTGTCTCCACTGGGGAGGTTTCTTTTGACTTCCTATTTCCAGGACAAGGAATAAAGGAAACTCCCCAGTGGAGACAGTAGTAAAATTTTGACCAAGGATCTAATCATTCCATAGTATATCAAAAATTATATAAATAAGCAAGAGTTACACTCTAGTCAGACATGAAATTTTGTATAAAATAGATGCAACCCATCTGCTTAGTGGCCTCCTTGCTTACTAAATCCATACACTTGTCATTATCACAGTTTCTAAATGGCCATGGCTGAATGAATCCCATGTACCATCCTCTATAGGCCTCAGAGAGGAAGTTGCATAGAACACAGTCAGCTGATGAAAAGCTACATTCTTCTCAGAAGTACCAAAAATCTGCCCAACTGCACTGGATCATACAGAACTTTAGCAAAATTTCCTGAATGATAATACCAGTTCATTAACTGATGTTGCTTGTTCCATTTTCTTCTTCCTTCACAGGTTGGAGTTTGGTATTCAAACCGCACCTTGGCAATGAATGCCACCAGCCTGGACATCAACGTGTCAGACACTCTAGAGAACAAAACTCTGGTGGTCACCACAATTCTGGTGCGTTCTTTTAAAGCAAACCTTGTAAATTCACCTAAACTTGTGATGTCTTTGACTTGTCAACTAAGTGTTTATCATCTGCAGCGATTTTTATGTGTCATAGCGAGCTTCCATATAAATATTTTACTGTCTCTGTAAATTTCCTCTGGTTGTTCTAGATGTTATCTTTTCACTACCAACAGTATAAAAGAAGTTTATGGAATCGGGTCTGACAGGCTAATTTTCCAGTGTATTTATTTTGGAGTTTTTTTATCTCTCAGGAGTGTTATTTGTTCTTATGTCCCTTCTTCTGATGGTAATCACAAATTTCTGGTCTTCTTTTTGACTGTTGGTACTCAAATGGCAAGACTGAGCACTTCATGGCTTTTAGGCTTACACCTTCTTCCTAAAGAGGACCTTGCTTAAAAATGTGAGGTCTGTCTATCTTGTTGATCCTTATCCCCCATGCTAAAAAGTAAACTAAAAAAAAAAAAAATAGAAGAAAAAAGTGAAAGAAAAACCACTCAACTTTCCACCCCACTTTTTAAAGTAATCACGCAAGGGTGACAACACTGAGTCTTCTCTCAGGAATCTGTGAAAGTTGAGGATCCCTGAAATCATGGGAAGATGCTCCTGCACAGTGCTGAATTGATTTCTCAAGGGGAGTGGGCACCTCAACATTCCCAGAAACTCATTAAAGGTCCATTGCCCATTCAAAATTGCTTGTGAGGTTCTCTTCTAATCTGTTTTTTTCTTTAATACATGGAGAAGGAGAGGGGGTCTACATGATAAGAGGACCAAGAATTTTGATGCTCAAACCCAGCCAAATCTTTACTTTTGCATAGAATGGTGAAGGGTTAAAATTTACATTTTCTTGCTGTCTTGGTGTCCCCATCAAGGGAAATTTACAGTGCATCCTGTTTATTTTCCTACTCAGGAAAAAGAAACAAGTTCACTAGACTGGCTACCACCTCGGTTGTACATACTTGCATTCCCTAGCTAGCCTCAGCCCTGCGAAATACCCAGTACTCCAGAATATGGGAAGCATGGGACCCTCTACCATCATACTGTATATCAATGAGTGCCAGTGTGGCCAATGATTTGTGAGGGTCAGAGTAAGGTCCTTAGTCCTGTGTAGGCTTTGCTCTGAATGTTTAAAATGACAGTCTCATTCTAACTAGTGCCGTAACACAGCCTGCCAGAAAGCATAAAGGTAATAGGAAGATTATTTATTATTGAAGTATCACATCCACACATCCTTGCTTTCTCTTCTATTTTAGTGAATATAATAAAGTTTTATTACTTATAACTATATCGATGTATGAACCTAACTGAAATAAATGTACCAAGCCCTTTGAGTCATATATTTATAGAGCAGTGATAATCTTTTTAGCGTTTAACTATGCTCTTGAAACACATTAGCTTAATTTGAAAAATCTTATCAATGTGCATTACCTTGTTTCTTTGTATAGATGGCAAATATATGTGCATAAGAGCTATCATACAGTATTTGCTTAGTACAAATACAAGGTTTTGCTCTAAATCTTTTTGCTGCTAACCGTAATAAATTGCTGCCAGGCAGGGTCTGTCTCTGCTGTGTAGGATGGCATAAAATAACAATGCTCCTGGTAGCCAGAGCCAATGTGATCTACGTCAAGGGAGGTCAGCGGCAGTGTTTCCTTTTTTCTTTTTGACTTTTCAAGGGAATGTCCAAGTAATATTAACATTGAATATTTGAAGCAAGAAGCCCCACTTAAGCTCCCTGTAAACAACTGTGAGATCTCTGTTCCTCTGTGGTGATATTACTTGGATTCCAAGGGGCAAGTATTAGTGTTTTTTTTTTTTGGAGAACTGTTGTATTCCATTATGGTATAACAATCATTTTTCCAGAATATGATGCTGAAAGTAAATCTAAAATTACAACTCTTGGTTTTAAAACATGGGTGCACCACAAGGAAAGGTTGTGGTAGAGATGTCCCACATAAACAGGGCATTCCTATTTTCCTGAAAAACCCTATAAACCTATCTCCAGTTATCCAGTTATTTTTAGTTTGTATAGAGTGGAGAAGTGTTTTGTTTCTATCAGGTCTTTATTTCCCCATGATCCTGTTAGGGATATTTTGCCTCACTGGCTATCTTCTAAAGTCAGAGGTGTAACTAGATCCTTCAGGGCCCTGGTGCCACAAACAATGAAAGGCCCCTCTGACCCCCAGCTGAGGCCATCTGATGGTGCCGATCCCACTGATCCTGAGGCCCTTTACTGCCATCATGGGGCCCTTTATTATGGTCCTGCAGCAGGACTCTTTCACATTTTCTGCAGTGGTCCTCCTTCCTGCCATCTTGGGGCCCTCTTATGGTGGCGGAACACCAAGGGCCCAGATGCAAGTGCGACCTTTGGAATCCTGGTAGTTCTGCCACTGCTTAAAGTATTAATGTTTATGTAAATAATCTGGTTTCTGGGCAGGCGGCTTCTACACCTGAGGATGTCCACGGTCTCCTTGGCTAGTAGTGTGATGTAACAAAAATGGAATTTGAAGATCCACACACCACTGTTAAATGGGCCAGATACAATTTTATTCTAATAAAAGTCAGAGAGGCAATTCAAACAATTTTTGGATTGTCCCCCTAACTTTTATTGAAACACCATTGTAGCTGGCCCTTTTAGCCATGCTGGTTATGCACTTTAGTTTCCATTTCTGTTACAAGAAGTGAGGGAGTGATGGGAGGTGCTCCCAGTGCCCCAGGACAGGAAGGCACAAAAAACATTTATGACACTTCCTTTTGGAAAGCAAATAGAGATTTCCCCAATAGAAGCACAGACAGCAATGAATTTCTGCTCTAATCAATCTTTCGCTCTGCCAAAAATATGGCTGGATTCGGGCTTTAACCACAACAGTCACACTCCATAATCCACCCCTGAACTTGCTCATGACCCTTAAACTTGCTAATGAACTTACTAAATGCAGTCACATCCCTGTTTCCCCTAACGTAAAAGTGGGTTTAATTTCATGTTATCCCTTTCACCTCTTCCTCACTGATTTTCCATTGCCTTTCTTCAGGAGAATCCATACATGATGCGTAAACCGAATTTCCGTTCTTTATCCGGCAATGACCAGTATGAGGGCTTCTGTGCTGAGATGTTGATGGAGTTAGCTGCTCTTCTGAGGTTCAACTACAAGATAAAACTTGTGGAGGATGGACTGTATGGAGCCCCAGAGCCCAACGGATCTTGGACAGGGATGGTGGGAGAGCTGATAAACCGGGTAGGTGGTGACAACTGATTCAATTTTGGCAGTTGTATTCTTGTATTTGCTCACTAAGAATAAAATGTTGACTTGGTCAGTGAGGCCAGGAGTCTGAAGAATAACTGCTTAAAAGACAACAACATGGATAAGAATCCATACAAGGATAAAATATACAATAAACTCTTAGTTGGCTTATTCATTCCTTCAAAAGCCATACAATGATGTTGTGTTAATTCAACCAGTGTGTGTGATGTCCGACATGTACAGTATCTATACTGAGATATCACCCACAGCTAAAATCAGGCTTTCAGTGTCTACTATGTAGGCTGGTAGGTGGGAGGGGGAGGTCCTTATATGGGTTTAAAAGAAGTTGAGAGCCCAGAGAAAGCATGGTAGTGAATGATGTGCAATAGCAGTCCAATGGGCAATCAGAAGGCTGGCAATGATTATGGCGTCTTCCAAACTGCAGGCCAGGAAACCTTGTTATGCAATCCAGCTTCTAGCACAGCAGGGGCTGGTGGATCAAAATATTAAGTCCATTACATTCCAAATCGTTTTGCAGGTAAAACTATTTCTGGGTTTGTTTTAAATGTAAGTAATAGAAAAAGCAATGATTTTTAAATTATACCAATTCAAAAGAACCATGGGATGTCACTTTTCATCAGCTGAGAATTGTCCCACCTACGGCTAACATATTTGATTGGCTGCTCTGGGTTGCTGCAGCAATATTAGGCATTTGTTATGTTAAACCGCTGTGCTAGTTGCTGTTTTCATATATTTGCAGGTGTGTGCTTATGTAAAAAAGTGACCAATTCAGACTGAACCTATCATTTTGACCTAAATGGGCAAAGCACAAGGTTCTCTTGATTGCCCACTTCCACTGCTACTTATCTTCTCTGTGCTTGTCTGCTGCCCCTTCTTCCCATCACCCAATATGTACAACAAGGCATATGTTGGTGGAGGTATATATTGAAAACCTCTTCCCTACACTTCATTTATATACTGTATATGGGATTATTCTATCTGTCCTTTCATCTTTCTAGTCCCTTTGCATGGGTTGACAGTCTAAAACTTGGACATTGACTAGGATAGATTATACGTGTTAAGTTATTTTGGATACCTTGATTTAATGATCATTCTGATTATTCTTTCCCCAAAACACGTATGCATTGATAGATGAACATCTACTCTTTGCAAATGCAGATGAAAGTGATGGAGTAAAATATAAAACACATGCAATATATCAATGACTGCTGTAGGGAATTCATACTGAATCAGGAATGGGTGCATTGAAACAGTGTTGTCCCTTAATGGGAAAATGATGAAATGTTGAAGTTTCTAGACCCCTGGTGCCCAATCTGCAGCCCTTTTTCATTTTTTGGTGCAGCCCTTGGGGCCCTTGAAGACACTAATCTCTGTTTCCTATTGCCCTATTATAGTAGTGATTTTCTAGAAGCCTAATGTAATATGTCTCCAGTCTTTGGCTATCTCCTGAAGCATGTCCCCAGTCTCCAACAACTCTGATAGCATGTTCACATTCTCTCTTGCATCATGTCCTCAATCTCTGACCATGTCTTGTGTTATGTCCACAGTGTCTGATCATGTCCTGTATAATGTCCACATTCTCTAACTATCTCTTGGATCATGCCCATAGCCTTTTACTTCATCCTGTTGTGTGTCTGCTATCTCTAGGAATGAATATTCACTGATTTTTTTTGCGCAGCCCTGTTGGTGGATGCACTTGAGATCCCCTATATCAAGAAATTTGACCATCACTAGTCTACACTAGACTATTTATGAATATAATATAATATCTTATACATTTATATTTTCTTATACATTTTAATTTGTTTATTTGTGTAATTCTCTTTATGGTATCTTTAAATTTCAGCACTGAGCAAAGCAGATGAATGCATAAAAAAAATACATACAGATAAAGTATGTCAGCTTTTTTTACCTGACAAAAGATTTATATTTCTGGTTATCTAGTTCTGTCATGCAGAGCAAAAGACATGATTTTTCTCTGCTGTAGTTTGGTAACATTTTCAGGCCTTTTCTCTCCCCCAGCCTTTGACTGGACAAGGAAAGGAGAAGCGGCACACTGATAAGCTTAGCTCTCTCTCATGCCAGGTTCACACCTATCAGTTTGTTTGATCTGTTTCTGCAGTGCTTTTTCCGGTGCGTTTTGCATTTTTCACATGCATTTTTTTTGTATTTTGATGTGTTTTGTTTTTTGTTTTCCAACTTGTTGCTGGGCAGATTCAAATGCAAAATGCATCAAAAACGCATAAAAACCACACCACATGCTTTTCTGCAGCATCTCCACTGAAGTGTATAAAACCAAAAATGCAACGTTTTGCATTTAAAAAACTCCCTGACCCTTTCCAAAAAACGCACTGGGTGAAAACACAGAGATGTGAACCTGTCCCATGGGAAATCATGTTAAATGGACTGCTGTGTGTTTCTGCAAAACGCAACGGAAAACGCAGAGGTGTGAACCTAGATTCACTGTGCTGACTACTCATACCAGCATGCTCCTTGCACTACGCACAACTAATTAGCTCTGTGTGTTGCATTTCCCTCCCCACATGCAAGAGGCTGATACTTAGTTATATTCAGGTACTTACACTGCATGTATTTACAATAAAAAATTAAAAATACATATTTTATATCTGCTGGAGTCCAGCTTTAAGTGCACATTTTTTTTCATTCGTAAAGTAAGTAAGTAAGTAAAGGGGGCAGTTGCCAGCTGTGACCCATTGGGAGTTTTCCCTTCACTTCCTATCCCATAAACAAAGTAGTTGTCACCAGAACTATTGTATCCATTGGAAGATTTTCCCTGTATTCCAGTTCTGGTTGGGATTTTGTAACTCTAAGTGATAAAAGTCACCAGAAAAAATAGAGAAGGCGAATCTCCCTAAAGGGGCACAGGCAGCAATATAAACCCGACAGGTGTTCTAATCCCTCTTTGCTCTATCCAAAACTAAAAATTAAAGTTTTGCCTTTTATTTATACGTTAAGGCATTGAGACTTTTGTTACAGTGAGGAACAGAAGTATTTGAACACCCTGCGATTTTGCAAGTTCTCCCACTTAGAAATCATGGAGGGGTCTGAAATTCACATTGTAGGTGCATTCCCACTCTGAGAGACAGAATTTAAAAAAAAATTCAGGAAATCACATTGTATGATTTTTAAAGAATTTATTTGTCTTGCACTGCTGAACATAAGTATTTGAACACCTGAGAAAATCAGTGTTAATATTTGGTACAGAAGCCTTTGTTTGCAATTACAGACGTCAAACGCCTCCTGTAGTTCTTGACCAGGTTGGCACACACTGCAACAGGGATTCTGGCCCACTCCTCCACACAGATCTCCTCTAGATCTGTCAGGTTTCGGGGCTGTCGCTGAGCAACACGGAGTTTCAGCTCCTTCCAAAGATATTCTATTGGATTTAGGTCTGGAGACTGGCTAGGCCACTCCAGAACCTTGATATGCTTCTTACGGAGCCATTCCTTGGTTATCCTGGCTGTGTGCTTCGGGTCGTTGTCATGTTGGAAGACCCAGCCACGACCCATCTTCAATGCTCTGACTGAGGGAAGGAGGTTGTTGCTCAAAATCTCACAATAAATGGCCCCATTCATCCTCTCCTTAATACAGTGCAGTCATCCTGTCCCCTTCGCAGAAAAGCACCCCCAAAGCATGATGTTACCACCCACATGCTTCACAGTAGGGATGGTGTTCTTGGGATGCAACTCATCCTTCTTTTTCCTCCAAACACGACGACTGAAGTTTAGACCAAAAAGTTCTACTTTGGTCTCATCTGATCACATGACTTTCTCCCATGCCTCCTCTGGATCATCCAGATGGTCATTGGCAACCTTCAGACAGGCCTGGACATGTGATGACTTGAGCAGGGGAACCTTCCGTGCAATGCATGATTTGAAACCATGACGGCGTAGTGTTCTACCAACAGTGACCTTTGAAACTGCGGTCCCAGCTCTCTTCATGTCATTGACCAGCTCCTCCCTTGTAGTTCTGGGCTGATTTCTCACCTTTCTTATCATCAGTGATACCCCACGAGGTGAGATCTTGCATGGAGCCCCAGTCCGAGGGAGACTGACAGTCGTCTTTAGCCTCTTCCATTTTCTAACAATTGCTCCAACAGTTGATCTATTTTCACCAAGCTGCTTGGCAATTGCCCTGTAGCCCTTTCCAGCCTTGTGGAGGTCCACAATTTTGTCTCTGGTGTCTTTTGACAGCTCTTTGGTCTTGCCCATGGTGGTAGTTGGCGTCTGACTGACTGTGGGGTGGACAGGTGTCTTTAAAGAGCTCAGGCACGTGCTACTAAGTTAGATTAATCAGTGGAGTAGAGGTGGACTTTTTAAAGGCACAGTAACAGGTCTTTAAGAGCCAGAATTCTTGCTGTTTCTTAGGTGTTCAAATACTTATGTTCAGCAGTGCAAGACAAATAAATTCTTTAAAAATCATACAATGTGATTTCCTGAAATTTTTTTTTAATTCTGTCTCTCAGAGTGGGAATGCACCTACAATGTGAATTTCAGACCCCTCCATGATTTGTAAATGGGAGAACTTGCAAAATCGCAGGGTGTTCAAATACTTCTGTTCCTCACTGTATATGGCCCCTGCCTAAGCATATGTCTGTATTACTCTGTTCAGAAGGATGATTAGTTTTTAACAGCCAATCAGGTTTTACCTTTCCGCACTCCAATGGGAAACTAATTATGCGTGATTTCTGATTATTTGTTAAGGGTAAATGCACTTTGTATATTGCCATTTGCCTTAAAGGTCATTTCCATCTGACTTCAGGCCCTTTAATTTGCCATTACACTCTCGCTCTCCTAATGTGTTGGCAGCCATGCGATGTTGGCGTGTTTAATCATGCAGTCAGTGATATGTGCATAAGGTCGGTAATTATTGATGATAACGAGCAGAGATTACATGAAGCTGTTCAGGCGGTGGAAATATTACTGGCGGAACCCGTGAGAATTATATATTCA